GCAGCTAGTAAAATAAACCCATTTTAGTAATTTCTCTGCAAAAGCTTTATGTAGAACAAACCTTTGGGGATTATCCAATGCTACAGTCACCTCCTGTAGAAGTTTTGTGATCCCTCACAATATGCTTACATAGGAGTCCTCTCAGGAAATCGAGTAAGCCATGTACAGTAAGAAGGGTTGGTGCTTCAGGGCAGGCACATTTCCCATTGATTAATGATTTTACAGTAGTACAATGGGAAGTATCTTCTTTGATAAGCCTTCCTTTCTTTTGGTGACTGAGGACTAAACAGCCATAAGGCAAGAAAGAACAGTAACCTTACTCTCAGCTGAGACCATATTTAGGATAATACAGTTTTGGCCACTTAACCTTAAAATATTAGCTGGGTTCAGTGGGTTTTTTCTTCCCATTTGGTGATTGCCCCATAATTGCAATGCTAAAAAACCACTCTAAATGTCTTGCATTGTAGTGCAAGATCAGCAAAAGTAACAGAATTAAACAGCTGCTTCGAGCTGCATCCAGGGGCCAGAAATTTCCCATAGAGGATGGAGTGATTTCTGTGCATTTTATACAGCAGACAACATAGCTGGACTATTACTCTTACCTGAAGTTACCTGAAACTCCCTACCTCTCTCCATATATATTCTAAAGACCTGGAAGTTTTCATTTCTGCATTCTTCAAAGGATAATAAAGAGATGATGTTAATTTTATTTAAGAATACACTACAAAACTTAACACAAGGTGTAGTTATCTACATTCTGTGGTAAGTGGTTTCAAGGCACCCACAAGGGCTAAGATACAAAAGCCATAATCAAGACGTTATCCACTACATTTTCCAATGGGAGGGATGATTAAGCTGCCAAGATCTGGGAACACAAGGCTGTACTGATAAAGACAATGCTGAAATATTCAAGGCCAAGGGATATAATTAGTCAGAGAGATTGCTGCAGTGTTTGGTAGTGAAAAAAACATTTGCAGACTAAGTTTCACAGAAGACAGCACTCCCTTCCACCACTATCCATCAAGCTCAGAGAGGAGACGTGGTTCCTTTTCAGCTGGGAGTGTCTTTTTTTATTTCAATGAAGTTGTAGCTATGTCCTGCTATGGACATCATCCTAAGAAAGGAACAGACCTCTCTGAGGGAACAAATGATTACGAATGTACAGATTACAGTAGTTTAAAAAGGATAAATGCAAGTGTAAAAGAACTGGGTTATAACTTTCCAAAAATATATTTCACAGGGGGTTTTAAACCCGCTGGTTTTGCCCGGGAAGAAAACACCCCCAGCAAGACCCCAGTAGTACCTCCAGGGTGGTCTTCAGCGAAGAGGAGGGCAGTGGCGAGTAAAGGAGGGATGGGCAACGATCGCTTTCTTCCAAAATAAAAGGTTTTAATAACATGAAAATAACAAACAAAAAACACCTGAGGCAGGCACTGAGCAGCACCCACCCCAGGGGAGAAGCGAAAGAGCATGTGGCCTTGGGGCCATGGGTGTTTAACAGGTAGGTAGGTGGGTTTACAAAGGCATTGTCCTGTAAGGATACACGGATGGGTTACCTACAGGTCAGGGGTCCAATGGGTGTTAGGGGATTGGTCTTGTGGTGGCTAAGCCAACCACAACCTGGGAAAGATGGAAAATTCTGGATGTGTGCCCATGTTTGGGGACAAAGAGGCAACAGAAACCTCTGTCTCCAGGAGGCGCACTGCAACACTGGGTTGCAGGTTCTAGAAAGGAAAAGATAGAGCCAGGAAGAATGTAAAAGATATCTAAGAGGAATAGCATAAATTTTTAATTTGCAAATAAGTAATGATTATATTCAGCAAAGAATAGTTAAGCATAGGAAGAGACATCTGAGGAACCTGTTTTAACCTGCATCTGTGAAGGATGCATTAGATCTTGTGTGTAAGGCTGAAAGGGCTGATGACTACAGGAGGAGAAAGGAGGAACGAGAAGTGGATAAAGCTAATCAGAAACATAATGAAACACAAACAGAGAACTTTCTCTCATGCCATTCTTGTTTTTTTCCTCCAGGGAAGCAGCAGCAGGCAGTTGCTGTGCCCAGGTGTTTGTGCCCTTTTGGCACATTGCTTGGAAGGTGAGAAGCAGGGTCCCACATATCCCCAGTACAGCATCAGGGGCCACTGGCACCTTGTGGTATCAGAAGCAAGAGCTGTTCTTGCAAATTCTGGCTTTGGCCTCAAAGTTCCCATCCAACTTTCCAAATTTTTCAGTTTTCTTAGCCAGGCCCCTTGTATTATGGCTAGGGCATGGCCTTAGCCTGGTTTTACAGACATAAAACTGAAGAACAGACATAAAACTGAAGAGGATTCCATCAATAAAAAGTCCCTTGCTTGGGACTTCTCCCGCAAAGGGAAACTTTTCCAAACTAGCACTGGGGAAAACAAAGCTGTAAAATGCTCGGCTGTTTTCAGAGAGAAGAAAAACCAAGTTTGATCATGAAAGGTACTAGGAAACATGCAGAGGGTATATCAAGGCAGTGACCCTTTTCAGCTTCTTTCTTAAGACTCTTGTTACCCATATAAAGCAGCACTAGGATGCACTTGAGCACTGTGGTTTACAATGAAGTTGTCTTCATGTGGCTTGAATCCCATTATCTTGGTGAAATTATAACCACCTTCTGTTCTCCCCACCCCTCTTCTCACAGCTGCACTTTCTGAGGTAGACTTCTCCCCTACAATCTTTCTCTTTCCTTCCCTTACTGGTCTGTTCTCAACAAGTCTTAGAGATGGTGCAAGCATTCCCATCATCTTGTGTAGGAAAATATACATCCCAGAGCTGTCACACAGAGGTAGCCTCACATCAAAGTACCTCTACAAAATTACTTTGTCTTTGACACTACCTCCCTCTTACCACCAGGTTGGGGAGAGACCAGGGAGGCCAGAAAAGCAATCTTTGTCCGTGGTAACTCAAATTAAATGCACACAGATGTTTATAGAAAGTCTCATTTCTTAAGAGTAAGCATCAGGTGATTTACCTGAAGAGGGGACAGTGTAACTAGCCCACTCAAGGCACAAAAGATGGCAGGACTAGATTGTGTAAGCCAGCCAACAGACAATGATGACCGACAAGAGCAGGGAGACACCATTTGCAAGGCCACTCCAGTACAGGTTTTACATACATGAAGAGAGTAACAATACAGCTATCAGACCATGGTTTTGACAATAAGAGCAAGATATCCATCAAAATCACAAGAATCAAATAAAGTTACAAAACCAATCCTACCATTTTATTGCTTTAGAATCTGCTGTTTAAAAGGTTTGTGGCAGGCACAACTTTGAAAAGTGTTAAGTTTTAAAAGGTTAAGTCATAATATAAGCAGACTGCTGAAAAAAGGCACAAATTTCAAAAATACAAGGGCTGAAAGAGGTCTACCTTTAGTCTTACTTCCTCTACATTTAATTTTGTAGAGGAAATTCAAACTTTTCAGTTTGATGAAAGATGAAATATTTACTGGCATTCAAAATCAAATGAAGACAAGAGTAGTCCAGGGAAACTATTAATGCTGACAAGTTTTTTGGGTTTGTTGTTTGTTTGTTTATTTTCTCTCTTAAACTTCTGTGAAGTAACTCTAAAATTTACTTTATTATTCTCAATAGCAGCATAAACAATCCTGGCACATATACCAATAAAACTGTATTTCTGTGAAAATTCCAGGACTTACACAATTAGTTTTCCACAATGGCCTAATGTGATGAAATAGAAGTTATTTTCCAACTGATAGAAACAGGGGGGTTCCCCTTGGTGAAAAAAATATACATGGTTTTGACATGTCCTCCTACACAAGAAAATCTGAAAGATTTAACAAAAGCAGTTTCACTGTATAAGGTGCATTTATTGCTGTTCTACATTAAACTTGAGGGAAAACATTATTTAACAAGCTAGTTAAAACATACAGAACAACTCAGAACCCAGTCTAACTCTGGTATCACAAATTACTTATTTGACTTACAAGGTAATTTCCAATATTACTTGAAATTTTTAGTGCACAGAATTAAATTTCTCTCAGAAGACATCAACAATAACAGTATTTTTATTGCTACTGCATTCAACTCTTGCACTGTGGGTTCCTGAAAAATCCTTTTGTGGTCTTTTGCCCCATGGTGCTAGCTAGAGGTTTTTGAAGATTATACCAGAACTAACAGCAAAAAGCTCCAAGAAATTACACCCAATTTGGTGTCAGTACCTATTTTGTGAATATCAGCACCATCAGTTATACCCCACTGACTTAGTTTCAGCAAAAGTTCAAGCTGACCCTACTTAAAAGAAACAGAAGTTTCCCAAAACAGCAATGTTTCCTCACAGCTCCAATACAACCTAAAGGTTAAGGCCACTTCAACTTTGTCCATAATTTTCCATTTAGGAATCAAAAAGGATGAAGGAAACCTTGTCAGTTAAGTTTAAACATCACAGATTGCATAGCCCAAGAAAAAATGCTTCCTCTAACATCTCCCTGCAAGAACATACTGCCTCAGCTCACACCAGATGTAATGTAGGAGGTTAAAAGTGCACAGTTGTGCATCCTGAAACAACTCTACTGGAAGACAGACTGCTTTCTTCCAGGCATCGTGTGCTGGGAAATTTACTCCTGATGTTAGAACTAAAAGAGGAAGCTATTCCATTATAGACATTCACTACGTGACTAGTTGCTACGGCTGAGCAGCCATAGGGAAAATCGATGGTTAAGCAGGAGTCCAAGAACTGCACCAGAAACTGAACTACTTAGCCACAAGTGCTGCTGCTTAACGTGCCAAGTCTCTTCTACAAATAAACAGTATTTTCAAGTTAAGTACAAATCCTTCCAAGCCGCTTTTAAATATCACACATACTATTTATATATTTACTTTTGTTCTTCCCCTAATAAAAATAATTTATATTGTGCTTCCCATGGCATATCTGTGTTACAATATCATGTATTCTTCCCATGCCGATTACTCAGTTTTGATGGGGGACTGCAAAATAAATTTCTGGAGCACATGGTATTAGAATAACCAAATAGCTTTAATAAAAAGTGATGCTGCCATTAAAAAGGCAGAGGATAAAAAAAAAACTTAAAGCTCTTCATTAACTTACCACTAAAATCTACAATACTCCTCAAAGGTTACATACTCACAGCAACATTACACTGTTAAGAGGACAGTACAACGTTTGTCAGGATCTGTTTATTAACCGCATATGCAATTTACCAGCCAGTTTGTTTACAAGATATTCCTTACCACAGGCAAACTAAATACTGTGCTTTTAGGAAACCTGCATAGAAATTATTTGATGTTTCTTTTATTTTGGACATATTTACAAAAAGGATTTCTAGGTGTGTTAGCAATAAATAATCCCAATATTCAAAATGTCAGTGCTCATGCACACACCGACAAGATGGTTGCATGCTTTAAAAATATTATTTACAGTACAGTCTCCTTCATAGCCCTCTCCCTAATAATAGCAGAAAGTGCATTTTCTTCCATATTGTCTCTCTCCTTTTCTTTTGTTTTCATCTAGTCTTGCTTCTGAGGGATACAGCCTTCCATCTCAACAACTTCTGGCCAGCCTTCATACTTGTTTGTGTCCTTGTTGTTCTTTATATGCTATAAATAGAAAACATCAATCTACTGTTAACGTAAAGTCATTTATCCCTTTAACTCACAGCCTTAAAAGACATTTTATTTACTTATTTTCAGGCCATGAACAAAGAGAAGACATCACTATTAGCCTCTTTGCTTTATATCAAATAGAACAGTCTCCCAGTATTCACCACTTAATATAATTTGCTCAGACAAGTGTGTCCTAAAAACAGTTAAGCGATATTGGGAAAATATTTTTAAAATTTATTATGGATGTTTATTAAGGAAGAGAAACAAGCAAGGAAAAGACCAACTGCATTAAAGCATAAACCACTTGGGAAAAAAAAATAAGTAAGGATACTAAACTTACAAGGCACCGAAAACAAACAGTCAGATTTTAAAGAACATGAATAATGTTGAACGTTCACCTTTTTTAAAAATTTAGAGGTTTATTTTTCCACCAAGCAAACATGTGCAGTCAGGTGAGACACTACTGCTCCCAGGTTTACCCCTGCTCAGGCACTAGTTCCCACTCCCTCGCAAAGCTGCTGGAAGAGAACCCGCCTTCCTTGCTCTCCTAGTACAAAGCTACATTTACTGCTAATTAAAGGCAACAATGACACATGTTGAACTGTAAATTCCATTTCACACATTTTGCTATAGCAGAAATAATTTTGGACAGAAGAGCAAAGTGAACAGCTGGGAACACCAACACCTTAACCACCGCTTCCCTGTTGGGGGGTCAACCATTGTTAGTGCATCTCCAATACAGGCGTTAGGCAGTAGGGTTTGAATTCTTCAGTTTAACTGGATTCATGAAAAGACAAGTTATCTAGTTATTGGGAGGATAAGATTTTCCCCATGTAGATTGTTTTCTTTTTTGTGAATCACCAAATAATCTTTAGTACATTTTAAAGGAAGAGGCTAGTCAAGGAATACATTTGAAAATAACACTATGTGCCACTAACTGCAATAAATACCCATCTTGAACAAATGCACAGCATTTACAAAACATGCTAAATTATAGAATCACAGACCTGTTCAAATGGACTTTTAGTCTTAATTCCTTTTCCTCCGCAGAAGACCCAGTTGTCTCTAAAGCCAAGATTAGTAATAGATGTGCTTCCTAATTCAGCAATCAGTTTCCGTGCTTCCTCATTAAGCCTTGAGCAAAACAGAGAAGTTCAGTACATGAACAAAATACCTGCCCTTAGGAGCTGTCATTGTTCAATGGACCATTCAACTTTACACGGATTAAATACAGTTTAAGTCAGTCAATATTGGGCAAGATCTAGCTTTCAAAATCAGATAAGGGTAGTTCTGAAATCACCTGATGTAACACGCACTGCTCTTTAATATTATAGTCTCAAGGAACCAGCATACAAACCTATCAGTACACCAACAAAAGCCAAGAACCCTTTCCTGTGGGAATTTATACATATATCTCAAGCCACGTTAGTAATTCTCCAAGTAACTAAAAAAAGTCAATCTTTAAAGTAAACATTGTTTGCGGGCTTAAGCTGACGTCTAGATAAAGTAAAAGCTATTTTAGATTAGAAGAATGACCTAAATATATGAAAGAAGTTCTTGTCTGCTTGGGTCAATTCACCATTCAGAATGTTGCCCCACAGCACAGTTCGGTGCCTGTAGGTCCAAGCAGGATAATTTTAGTATAGAAGGGAAAACGACTCCATAGGATGATAAGTTATCATTCCAAAAACTCCAAGTAACACTCTTTTACTTCGTTTCAGTTACTGTATTTGCCCAATTACTGAACAACACACAGAAGTTCTGATTATTCCTACTCACTGAGATACAGATATATGACTCACTTTAGCTAAAATTATGAAAACGATGAAGTACTTTGGAGGTTATTTGGACAACACACTCCAAATTTCTAGAGCTTAGGGAAGTGCATATTAAAAATAAAATTTCTCTTTTAAACATATTGGTTCTTCACAATTTTAGTTGTTTCCAATAATTGGCATTTATGATTACCATCAGCCACCAGAGGTAAGGTTTTGGTTAATCATGTGACATCATTAACAAGCAGTAATTTCTGTCTGTCAGCATGAATGGGCCAAATTGATATTTTTGTTTAGCTGATATTGTATCTACATACAAGCATTCAGAAATCTCACTTGTGACATGATTACTGAAAAAACTAACTGTACTTAATGTCTAAAACATCAAAGAGAAAAAGAAACAGAGCAAAAAGAAAAGTAGCAAAACAAGTGAACAGAACAACACAATAGATGATCCAGGCCTGCCATAAAGAAACATTAAATTGCTTTTTTCTCCTAAAAGCAGTGAAGGTCAGACACATATTTACTGCAAATACTGCACACTGCAAAGTCAGGAGTTTGTCATAGGAAAGCTTTTTCTATATCAAAACTGCAGAAAAGTTGTGGGTACCAAATTTAACCAAAAGAGAAGGAAAAAGTACAGGCCACATTAGCAAAAAGTGAAATATTAAAACATAGGAAAAGGTGGGGCAGGGGGGAGAATCCCTCCTAATTTTCACTATGAAAAGCAATCCTTTGGAAAGGATGACTTAAGTGAGGAGCAGATGACAATAACAAATAATGCAGAAACTTTAGTATTATAAATCTGAAGAAAGTTGTGAAGCCTGGAAGATAATGCTTGAAGAGAACTGAAACGTCTAAGGCTGTGTCTACATTAATAAATTGAGAAGATTTAGGGTGGAACAGTCCAAACACTGGAGCCAAAAAGTACGAGGTGCACACCAGTTACCTCTCAGACTTCAAAAAGACGGATATAGGCAAGGCCTATTTGGAATGGTCTTTTAACCCTCTGATTTGATCCATTTGGTCCCCAAATCACATTAACATTATAAAACTAATAAACTGAAAGCATAGTGGCAAACCTGTCATCCTGGAAGAAGAAAACTATCTGAAGTATTTGTGTTATAATGAACGAATTTTCTTTTTCAGTATAAAATAGCAGTTAAAAGTTTTAGCAATATTTATTATATAAAGCCATTACATACTTGGTTGCACCATCATCATATGTGCTCATTAACACTATCGTTCCATCCTGAATGGACTTCAGAAAATCAATGAAAGGTGCCACATCTGAAAAGAGAGAGAACAAAATTGTTTAATAACAAGCAGGCATTTCATATTTAAACACCAGCAATGCCTTCCTGCAAAGATATTCATTCAAGAATGTTTGTAAATGTACTTATAATTTTATAAAAAGAAATTTTTAAGAAAGTGGGAGAAAGGTAAAATGCACCAGAGAGAACTCTCTTGTTCTATAGAAGGAATTTCATCCATACTGTGTAAAGACAACCACGGGCAGAAACTACTCAGGAGAAAAAGTGTGTTTGATTAGCCAGACCATTCCCTCCCACCTCAACTATTTGTGTTTATTCAAAGTTCCACTCTCTTCACTATTAGAAAGGTAGAGGTGGGACACCCCTTTAGCTATCACCTTAAAACACCACAGCAAATGGAGCCTGGAGAAGGGGGAGAAAAAAAGGGGCAAAAAAAGCAGCAGTATTTAAGCTGTTTCTCTCTAACAAGCTAAGGCAACTGCACCTACCTCCTCCCCACATGTCAAAGAACTTGGTGTCTAATGTTTCTCCTGTTTTACCTGGAGAGAAAGAAATATTTGGTGTCAAGTACAGCAGACACAATTATTTCAGACAACACACCCAACTTCTCTTAATTACTCTTTCAGAGAAGGTGCTGCAGAATACACCATGTCAATAAATTACTATAGTAACTCTTATCGTTTATGAATATCACTCATCAAACAGCATAGTACTTTGTGAAAAGGTGCAGGAAAAGGTAAAAGGAAAAAAAAGAGACAACACAAAACTTCCAAATTTTGCTTTGAGCAGAATATAAAAAAAAAAAAAAAAAAACAAAACCCCACACTCCCCCCCCAAAAAAAAACCAAAAAAACACGACCCCACAAAAATTCCAGAGCCTCTAAAACAAATAAGGAGAATTCACTTAATATATTTGACATTTTTTAAAAGTTGTTGCTGCAAAAATAGATAGTACAGCCACTGGTAGCCTGAAATGCCACATGGAAAGTAAGAAAAATTAAAATTACATATAGCATGTTTTGCTATAGACTGGAAATTTAAACATCCAGAACAAATAGAAACAATATAATAATCGCATTGGCTTTTTTTTTTTTTACACTATGCTGGCTAGGAAGGCAGTATTTGATGGAAAGTAGAGTTTTCTTTTTAATTTCATTCATTTAAAGTTTGGAAGACAGGGAGAAAGACTGGCAGCTATATGATACAAAGGTAGGTGTTTTGGTTTTCAGCAGACTGAGACAATTTAGGAGGATAAAACAGGATTTGGAGATTATTGTTCACGTCATGCTTTAAGTGATGTAAACCTGAGTACAATCCAAAAATAACATGAATTTATATTGCAATGGAGTAACCAAATGCTATCTCAGTGCTACAAGGAATTGCTTCCTACATGTTAAGGACAAGAATGACAGTACTGATGTTCAGTTCAGCTTTCAAGGTGACGCACAGGTAAGTTTGCTTGGTTTTAATAAAAGTTAAGAATCCTGAACATTACACTGTATTTAGGGACAAGATCTATAGATATGGATTAATCAAAATATACTGATTTCAAGCTAGGAAATAATGAGCTGGCCTTTCCATGTATTAAACAGACTTGTTAAGTAAGTTTCACTGAAAAAAGAGCAACAGAAGAAATTAGTCTACATAGCTTTATTAGTGGTGGCAACACACAAAGTCAAAAGAAGTAGCATGCTTCTCGTGTCTTTTTTCCATTTTATATGCACATTAGTTGATCTGATGTATCCCCCAGACAGAAATGTGGAGTGCTGTGTTGACTATTTTCACTAGACACTTTTAAAAATAAAAATGCACTGAGTTTTTCTGCTCTCTAATAAAAAGGTGTAAGTGCCAAGATCTGACATTATCTCAGTATAAATATGTTGAATAATTCCTTTTCTCCTCCTACTTGCCTTTCACCACCCCTTGGCATTTCATCTTAAAATTCAGAAACAGTCTGAAAATGAAGACAATCTGCTCACTTAAAATGCCACTTACCATTGACCAAGGCCACATTTATTCCTCTGCCAACATTATTTTTAACTCCACTCATTAAACTGAAACAAAATAAACAAATTTATTTTTAATAGAATTATTTTCTGATGTGAAATATTTGGTTTTTAAACAGGATCACTAAAATCGTAAGAGATACATAGTTGGAAAGATCACATTCACAAGCACTTGAAGCAAAATCTCCTTGAATTAATCTGTGTGCTCTTACGACACTGATTTGAGAATAGGCCACATATCCCCAGTTGCATCCCTTTCATTTGAGCACTTGATCAACTTTGTTTCAAAGTACATTAAGTGTCACAAAAAAATAAAGTGCTATTAATGTATTTAAGAAAATTCCTTGCAGTTAAAGAGCCTGAAACAAATAATAATTTGAGGAGCTCAGCACAGTCGTGTAACCAACATTTCAAGCTTTTTTGTAAGCACATGATGAACAATGTGCTAACGAGTTTAAAAGCTAACTGAATAAAGACTCAGTATTACCCAGATAAGAGTGACTGTGAAAGACTGTCAGTTAATGGTACCTCTTGGCACAGTGACTTAGGTTTTAAAGAACTAGCAACTAGAGATGAAAGGGTCCATATTCTTCTGTTAGTTCTCTAAGTTACACCATCTGCCAAAAATTCTGATTCAAATTAAAATACTAATTCAATAAGTTGTGAAACAGAAGACTTTACATTTTCTGCTGACATGCAGAATTCAGTTCTGGTTAGTAGGAAACTCCAGAAGTATTTGAGCTACTGAAGGATCATTTCTTCCCTGATCACGTGATTTTCCTGTCACATCTGAGCATCTGTTCTATACAAACCATATGGCAAATAAAGACTAGAAACATAACTGAAAAAAAAGATAGTGAAGTTCTGAACACATCCCTTTGCTCATATATAATTTAGTGGACATTTAATTTACCAAAAAGAAGAACTTCCTATTTACCAGAAAGAAGAACTTCCTTCTTAACTACAAAATTCTCTGTAAATGCAACTGCCTTCTTAATGGAAATAGTAAAACTGCATGGAGAAATTGCTGGTTAAAGAAGCACAGCAATATTGCCCCTTCTTCTAAAAGAACCATGAAATAACAACTACAATGTTTAGTATTTTGATGGTGACTATAGTACTTTTTTTTCTAATTTGGATTATATCCTTCCAATATAGGAGAACAAGGCTACAGCTGAACTACTATACAGAAGAATTCCCTATTTCACACCAAAATACCTATATAGAGAAAAGCTGAGAAATTAAATGCACTCTGAATTATATCAACACCTTTAGTGCTCTCATAAACCAAGTGGCATCCTTAAGTTTACAACACAACAAAAAACCTGCACTGTAAATACCATTGACAAAATTAGGAGAACTTGTCCCTTCTTCCTTGTCTTGGAAGTATGAAGAAAAATACAAAATAATCATTAAAAAAAGAAAACAAAAAAACCCACCACCAAACAAGCAAGCAAACAAACCACACAAAAACTGTTTTCAGGAATGAGTTCACAAAATATCACTAAAAAAATAGCTACTGAAGAGGAAATAAGTTCTTTCAGAGTTTGGAAATAACTACACACTTGAGATAGCTTGTGCACCAGGTCAAACACTACAGGCTGTAATGTGACAGTTTTCTCACAGGAGGGCAGCCCTTCATCACTTTTCAAATTCTTCCAACAATTTACAATCAACACATGGGAGCTTTTGAAAGAATAATTAAACTTCGTATTGGCAAAGCAGGAGATACTATAAAACGAATCATATTTTTTAGTGGACATTTAAAGGAACATTAAAAGTCCTCCTCGGAATGAATTTGGAAAGATTTTTGTCAAGGGAAAATGGATTTAGGACTCCAATAGCTGTGCACTAAGGTACATGCTAGTATTAAAATAGAGGATTTCTTGCCAGCAACTACTTTCTTTTCATTGCTTTCTTCAATGAAATATCCAGTAGAGGATTATTATTTTTTTTTTGGACAGGAACAATAGTCTATTCTTAGTTAACCAGTAAGTCAGATACTGGGGAAAAAAAAAACAAAACAAACAAAACACTATACACACTGCCAAACCAAATCAAACCAAACCCACCCACCAAACCAAAACCTACAGTCCTGGTGTTAAAAATATTACTTAAAATTCCACAACTTTTAATCAGTGAATCACCTTGTCTTCAGAGATATTGAGCATCCTAGTCATCAGAATAAGACAGCACCAAGTTTTCTAAAACCAGGAAAGAGACTATGCAGAGAGATAAAACTGTCCAAAGTCTCCAAGTGAATCACTAGTAAGAATGGAAATCAGAAGCAGAACCTCGCCGCTGTTCCATGCCATTGGTGAGCTCATGCTCCCCAACTACACTGTGATGTTTCGATGCAACCACACTCCTACAGGTGAGTAAGCTTGAACTAAGTCAGCCTCACAGAAGAAAGACTTGAGTTCCAAGTGGTGTTCATGATTCTACTAATAACACAGAGCAAAGAAGCTGTGTGTGTTTAGTTGCCAGGGAAGAAAGCTCCCATTTCAATTTTGCCACATCTTAATTCCTAGACCTAGTGCTAAAAGTACAGTCTTATCTTTAAGGTCATCCTGGTCTCTAAATTGGAGATAAGGTGGATAAGGAACTGGCTGGATGGCTGCAGTCACAGAGATGCAGTCAATGGGTCAAAGCCCAAGTGGAGATCACAGGTAAGTGGTGCTCCTCAGGGAGCAGTAACTGGGACCAGTGCTGTGTAACATCTTAGTCAGTGACATGGACAGTGGAACTGAGGGCACCCTCAGCAAGATTGAAGATGACACCAAGCTGTGTAGAAAAACAAAATGGAGGAGAGAGATGCCATCTAGAAGAACCCTGACAGGCTGGAGAGGTGAGCCCATGACAACCCTCATGAAGTTCAACACGGCCAAGTGCAAGGTCCTGCACCGGGGTCAGCGCAAGCACAAATACAGGCAGGGCAGAGTATGGATTGAGAGCAGTCCTGAGGAGAGAGACTTAGGGGGTGCTGGTTGGTGAAAAGCTCAACATGAGCCAGCAATGTGTGAGTGCAGTCTAGAGAGCAAACCGTATCCTTGGCTGCATCAGAAGAAGCATGGCCAGCAAGCCGAGGAAGGTGCTTCTCACCCTCTGCTCCACTCTCATGAAACCCCACCTGGAGTACTGCATCCAGCTCTGGAGACCTCAACCCAAGAAGGACATGGACCTCTTAGAACAGGTCCAGAAGAGGACACGATGATCAGCAGGCTGGAGCACTTCTTCTATGAGGACAGGCTGAGAGAATTGGAGTTGTTCAACCTGGAGAAGAGTTTGCTCTATGGAGACCTCACTGCAGCCTTCCAGTATCTGAAGGGGGCCTACGAGAAAGCTGGGGAGGGACTTTTTAACAAGGGCTTGTAGTGATTGGACAAAGGGTAATGAGTTCAAATTGGAAGAGGGCAGATTTGCATTAGATGTAAAGAAGTTCTTCATTGTGAGGGTGGTGAGACACTGGAACAGGTTGCCCAAGGAAGCTGTGGATGTTCCATCTCTGGATGTTTTCAAGATGAGACCGGATGGGGCTTTGAGCAACCTGGTCTAGTGGGGCATGTCCCTGCATGTCAGAGGGACTGGGAGTAGATGATCTTTAAGGTCCTTCCAACCCAAACCATTCTATGATTCTGTAAGAATAATCTTACAGTTACTTCAGAGAATAATGTGATGGAAAATGTAAACCAGTACTTTCTACAGATTAATTATCCTATTTACTATATTACACAGTTATGTTTTTCCCAGTCAAGTTGCCATTTGCTCTAGAACTCATTAACACTGGCCACTGTATGTGCTATCTGAACCACCCTGTACTGACACAGTGTGGGCTGAGAAACAAGTAAACTGGAGTAGTTTAAATGCAAAGGGAATACAAAGGCTTTGAAGTCTGACTGACTTTAAAAAATAAAATCTTCTTCCAACAGCAATAACATCATGTCTTTTCTGGTATGTGACCTGAAAATTCGAGTGGCTGGATCATGCAATACAAAGCTGCACACTCTGGGTGACAAAGAGCAGAAACAACTTAAAAGCAAAGAAACAGAATTTACGAGCAAATACTAAAATTCCCATTATGGGGTTTACTGAAAGGTATTCAGTTAAATACTCTAGAGAGCATATAAATATTAAATATTATAATAAATCATAT